TGTCTGCCTGTCCCCACTCGCTCTCTGTCTCTCTCTCTCTCTCTCTCTCTCTCTCTCTCTCTTTCTTTCTCCCCCTCTCCCCTGCCTCCCTCCTTCCCCCCTCTCTCTCCATTTCTTTTGCCACGCTCCCCTCTTTACCCCTGGCTGACTTTCCATCAATGACATTTTTGCTCAAAGCGTGAAAATTAAACAGAAATTGCACCGACGACACTGGAGCGGCTTCTCCGGAGATCAAGACGTCAGCCGCACACTGTCAGTTCTCACAAGATGGCGGCCAGAGAGGTCACTCTGTCCATAGGCCCACGGCTCAGTTGTCAGTCAGTTTGCCTGTCTGTCTGTGCATCTCTCTTTCTGTGTCTGCTTGGCAGAGAGAGATAGATAGATAGATAGATAGATAGATAGATAGATAGATAGATAGATATAGTGGAGGAAGATAGATAGATAAATAGATAGACAGATAGATAGATAGACAGATAGATAGGTAGATATGTAGATAAATGGTGTAACCATAATTTAATTTAATACATACTGCGTCGAATTCGGATTCGAATTAATTACTCTCTTAAAAGTGCAAGCTGTTTCTAACATTATCTAAATTGATGGCCTCTCAAATAATTTTACGAAACAGAAACCCAGATATGAACTTTAATAATAATAAAGCGCCCACTCCCTTGTTGCTCTATGCCCTTCACAATAAAATAAAATTTAAATCAACGTTTCACGCATATTGGCCCATTCAACGTACAGCAATCCTTTAAAACACATACACACGCGTAATCTGACACGCGGTACACACACACACACACACACACACACACACACACACACACACACAAGACAATCTCAATGGCTGAAACAGACCACACTCGCTCATTGTGGCTATAAAAAAGAACGAGCCAGAGACGTGCATACTTTGAAGCGGTTACGGGAAGTTCTACGCCACGTAACGCTTTCCCCGTCCCAAATATTATTTAATTTAGTGATAATGATAATGTGTAACTTTTATTGTTTTGTTTCTGACATTGCCATACGCCCAGTGACGTGTTAAGTATGGTTCCGGAAACGTGTGTTTTGTAAACATTGCTAGAATGGACAAGTTACGAACTTTTCATAATATTGTGCATGTGTTCCCAGAATTTGTTGTTGAAGGACTGAAGTGTGTGTGTGTGTGTGTGTGTGTGTGTGTGTGTGTGTGTGTGTGTGTGTG